GCTCGACCGGATTGCCTGACAGGTGAGAGGGAGGGCCGTGAGTCGGGAAGAGGTATGGAAGCTGGGGCAGGAGAAGGCGAAGGAACAAACTGTGTCTCAGGGGTGACAGCAGCGGGGGGAGGCGGTGGAGACGCAGAAGTAGTTGAAGAAGGTAGAGTCAGGGGAGGCGGGTTGTCCACAAACGACGAGATGGGAGGACGAAGAAAAGGAGATGGAAGCGGGATAGGTGAAGGTGGACCAGACGACTTACAGCCATCATCGGAGTCACTGCTGGCGGGAGAGTTAGGGATGGGTGGAGCCGGATCCCGTGGCTGCCGGAAGGAAAGTGGCAGAGAAATGCGGGATCGGGGCAGAAGGGGGGTTGGCAAGGCAGCAGGTTGGGGAATTACTGGGGACGGAGGGGAAGCAGTGGATGGTGGTGAAGCAGCAGTCGGAGCAGGCAAGATGGCAGAGGTGGGCCAAGGAACATCCACGAAAATAGTGGGTGTCGGACCGGTGATTTGATGATCATAAGGAAAGGTCCGGTCATTGAAGATGGTGTCCCGACTCTTCACTGCTTTCTTCGTCTGAAGATCCCAAACGCGGAACCCATTGCCATCGTCCAGATAAGAGAGAAAAACAGCTGCGTGCGCTCTTGGGTCAAGCTTCTTCTGAGTTGCATCCGGAACCTTGTGCCAGACCAAGCAGCCAAAAGGGTGAAGAGACGTGAAATCGACAGGGGGAAGACCCAAAATGGAATTAGGGGAGTGAAAGCCCGAGGGTGTATTGCAGGGAACTGAATTGAAAGCATAGAAGATGTGACGCATGGCGTCCGCCCAGAAAGTTTTGGGGAGTTTAGCGGTGAGAAGGGAGCAGCGGATGAGGTTTCCAACTGTGCGATTTGTTCTCTCAGCTACACCATTAAGAGCGGGGGAGTGAGGGGGGCCCGGCTCATGGCGAATACCGGAGGATAGGAGAAATGATTCAAAGGCCTTGGAGACGTACTCGCCCCCATTGTCGGACCGAAGGGAGAGAATTTGAAACTTTCCGTCCTTTTCGAAGAAGGCTTTGAAGATTTTGAAACAGGAAAAAACATCTGATTTGGATTTCATTGGAAAAATTGAAACATATTTTGAACAATCGTCGATGAAGGTGACAAAATATTTGTAATGCTCGCGTGATGCGACTTCAAATGAACCAACATCAGAGTGTATGAGATGGCCAGGAAATTGAGAGCGGTACGAAAGACGAGAAGTAAAAGAAAAGCGATGCATTTTAGACTGTATGCAGATTGGACATTGAGTTACCTCGATATCATTCGCCATAGTTGGGACAATGCCAGCCTGACGAAGGAGACGTTTTAGGGGCTTTAGGCCTATGTGTGAAAGTCGAACATGATAATCCAAGAGTGAGCTGCCGTGGGACGATGACGGAGCTGAAACGGCGGATGAAGATCTTACCTCAGTCGAGGGAAGGTAGAAGAGGTTACCCTTTCGATAACCACGGCCAACGATGGGGCCGGATGACAAGAATGAGGCTGCTTCGTAGAAGTCACAGGAGTCGGCAGAAAAAACGACCACAAGGTCCTTGTCGCACAGACTGGCAACAGATAATAGAGGCTCGTGGAGGCCAGGAACAACCAGAGTGGGGACTTGCTTGTCGACGGACAGAGGCAATGATTGAGAGCCACGGGATACGGCGAGGACTTCAGAGCGGTCGGCAAGGCGGACCACGGTTGAGTCCGGCTTGCAGCGGCTAACGGTGGATGAGTGGGGAGTCATTGAGATAGAACAACCGGAGTCAATGTTTGCATCGGCAGCCCCAGAGACTTCTACCGAAGATGAGTGAGTAGAGATGGAAACAGCATTACCTGCTCGCTCCGGAATGGAGAAGTCGGAATCCTCGTCGTACGAATCGTAGCCTAATTCCACGATGGTAGCCTGCCCGGCGGTTGCCAATGGTTTGACGGAGGAGGATTTGTCAGAAGTTGGACGGGGGCGGCCTCGAGAGTTGTTAGAGCGTCGTGATGGATCAGGAGCGGAGCGGTTGGACTTGTGCTCGGAGAGGATCCGAGCAGCGTTCTGACAGATGGCCAGATCGTGCCCGCTGCGGTTGCAGAAAGAGCAGTGGAGAGATTCGTTATAGCGAGATCGACCTTTGCCAGACTCGGCCTGCGCTTTAGAGACGGATACGGCAGAGTCATCGTCTCGTCTAGCCTTACGTCGAAGAGATTCCGCTTTGAGAGCGGAGACAATGCGGGACGAAGTGACAGAGTCTTCGTTCATCAAAGCAGAGACGCATGGGAGCCAGTCGTCAGAGAGCGAGGTAAGAAGAGCGGTGGCGTGGATGTCGTCCACTGTGAGGGGCTTCTCTGGTGTGACTAGGGACCCAAGGCGTTCCGCACAGATCGCCATCGATTCTATGTGCGTGTCGATATCTTTGCCAGAGAGACGGGCCACGACAAGTTGTCGGAGCCAGTGCATGCGGCCCCCCGACGAGAAATCCTGATGGGCCTTGGAGAGGGAAGCCCACATCGCCGCGGCATCGGTTCCATGGGCCCTGATGAAGCGAAGATTGCTAGGGTGGATTGTGCGTGCGATGAATGAGGAGACCGAAATGCTATCGGTCGACCAGGAAGCGGGACGCGTTTTCACCTCGACAGAAGTGGAAGAGTCGGCGGCCGAAGCGGTCGGAGCGATTATCGGGTCGAGGACATAGGCAAGCTTCAGAGACTGGAGGTGAAGCATAACCACAAAGCTCCAGTCAAGATAGTTGGAGTCAGCCCCTTGGGGCTTGAGTTGGACTATGCCCGAGACCTTGAGGTTGAGGGCATCGGAGGCGTCCGTGGGTTGGGCTGTGGAGGTGGCCATAGCGATGATCTTTCCGATAGTCTTGCAGAAGGGTGTAGGAAACGACCGCTATTCGGATTCCGATGTAGAAACGGTGCGGAATAGAACGAAACGAGTCGAGTTAGGAAGTTAGCGAGTTGAGTTGTATCAAGCGCAAATGGGCGTCATAACCTGTTGGAATGAACACCCTCAGACTGGAGACATATGAGTTGGAAAGGATGATGAGTTCATTTCAACATAAGAGAAAAGAGAAATGAGAAATGAGAAGAGAAGACATACCTGGAGACATATGAGTTGGAAAGGATGAGGAAAAAGAAGATCCTCCCGAACACATATGACTCCAGTATAAGAGCTGAAAGAAAACAACTAAGTGTCACAGAGTGTGACATGGAGAAAGTGAAATCTGAATAAAGCACACTAACGAACATGAACATGAGATGGATAATGACATGTCACAGGAATCTCAACATCTTCTTTGTTTTTCTACCAACGGTTTGTTCTCACTGACATCCAAATCTTCTTTTTGGGCACTTAGTCACTTCTCTGGATTTTTTATGTGTTATCTGCTCATCGATCCATCACAAACACATCAAATAACCCTAGGTCAACTGATTGGTGTTGGCATTGTAGCCAAATTTGTTGTTTATCTGCAGCTTTTTCATGATTTGAATGTTGTTACTTCTCTTACCCTTGTATGAACCGCAGATAATCGTAATGGGAAATTAGCCCATCAATTCTTCTCTACACAATCTTGTAATGAACAGGAATTTAAATCGCATCCAAGACGACCGTTGGATTCACTTGTTGTCACTCATCGGAGTGAGGCTCTTGTTCAAAATCTTAGAAATCTGAATGAGATTAGCACCGATTTGATGGACTTGCTTGGAACTTTACTCCAAGGGCTCACCAACCAAAGTCGCTGATTCAGAACTTATCAAGTCTGCATTGAGGGTTCCTCAACCAACTGATTCTGGCTCTACTTGGCTTGAGATCAGTCTCTTGACCTGGGTCGCATATCATTGATGACAACTCCAAGGTTGCTTGTATACATCTCACCGAGTTGGTATTGAATTTTAGACTTCATTTATTATAGTCTTTGAGATCACAACAACACCACACATATGAGGTAACAAGGATGATAGGCAGTGGGCTGAGATCAATGGTATTGAAGCAGGTATGAAGCATGATAGGATACAAGTCAAGATCGAAACCATTCAACTTGGTAAAAATTAGGATTGAACGACTTGTGCCTACATGTTGAGGGGATAAGGCAAAATTGATCAGAAACACCATCGGTCAGAATCAGTTTCAAGGCCAAAAAAACTGACTCAAATTTTCTCCTGAGTTTGCTAGCACTATGATACAATGATGATGGTCTGCCGTTTTCAAGAAGAATGTATCCAAACGGTGTCATCGAGATGATGGTTGAGCCTCCAATGTGATTGATTGATTGTTTTTGGTGGTTTTGGGGGATGGATTGAAGGTACACGGCGGGAGCGATCGGTGAAGATCCAATGCGTCGGGCTGTCGTCTGGGTCAAATACCAGTCAAGCAGACCGTTGAACACAGCACCCCGACCGCAAAGGTTGGCTATCGGTCATTGGGCCCGTAAGTTGACTGACACAGTCGGCTGTACAGTCAAAAGAAGGGCGGAATTACAGGCTGTTGACCAACATGGTCATCAATTAGTGATCCCGGTCCCTCAACTGGTATAGCACCGGTCTTTTTTGGTGAGCCGTCCGATCGGCCGCCGCCGTGCTTGAAAGCTGCTTGAGCTCCGTTTGTACCGTACCACATTGGTCAACTTGCAGGTACATCTCGGTCCTCCAACCCCAATAAGCCATATTCGACCATTGTTTTGCCAATGATCCGAATCCGATGATGAGGGGCAGACATGATCCTCGAGTGACCTCATTTTTAGATTCTCCCCAACTCATTTCTTGACGTTCTCAACTTCTTAAGACCTTCCTTGCCTGCAAATGTTCGCTTCCTCTCCTCTTCTTATTGCTCCCGCTTCCCCTCACCCTCCCATCCTCGCTATCCTTCCACAGTCAAAAGAGCTGAATCTGAACCGCAAGTTAGAGTCACATCCCTTCCCCACTATCCCCTCCCCACTTTCTTTCCAACACCAATCCACTAGAAGGTAGAACCCACTAGATCCACTGAGTCTCCTCCCTCTCTCTCTCATGATATCTGAATACATGATCACTGTCCTGTCTAGAACCTGCTTTCCAGCCATTCTATCCCGCTGCTTACTGATTGTTTACATTTTCAGATTATGTAGAAGCTGATCAAGTCGGGTACGCTCAACAATGCTTTCTCGGACAAATGTGAGCTCGGTCACTTCCAAGAAGTCTTGGTCATCGACTTTCTTTGAATTTCCCAATGCTGAACCGATCAATATTCTTTTCAAATTTTGACCTGTGCTCAGAGCTCTTTGCTCTATTACTGGTGATTGATGTGTTGAATCAAGTGATGTGGATGTCCAATTGTATCTCAATTAATATTGTTATTTAAGCCTAGTGTTATCGTCATCTCCTACAATCATCATGCAAATGTATATACAAATAAATCACATTTTTGCATTGAAATGACCCAGAACCTGTTCAGTTATGAGCCGGAAAAGCATTCATACAGCAGTGCAATGAGCGTTGACCCAACCGCGGTGTGAGGGTCGAGAATCGGACAACAGGTGCATCGGTCCCGATGACCATTAGCAATCAGTCATTTGTTTAAGTTATGGCATTGTCCATTCAGGCTCAAGGTCGATGGAGCTGCTGGCAAAGTGACGGTGAGGGTCGTCATGCCCGATTACATGCCCTTTGTGGGGCGTCGAAAGACCCTCTGGACAAGCGGTCCTACTTGCTAGGTAGCGACCTGTCTCCGGGGGCTCGGGTCAGTCGTCGTCATCCTGCGCGGGGTCGAACGAAGTACCAAGGACAGCACACTCGTCGAACTCCCCTCGTCGAGCTGCTCCGGCTGTGTAGCTGGCCGGATTGGATAGCAACGGAGGCTGGCCGCCGCTGTGGCAGTCAATGACGACATCATGGCTTTGAGAGGGAAAATATAAAACAAAAATACAAACTTACATGGTGAAAATCTAGGTTTTTCGAGTGCAGATCCTGCAAATCCGTCCAAGCATTCTTCAAATCACAATACAAACCTCTCATCAAGATGGAAGCACGTCAAAGAAAGAAAGATGGTACAGAGAGAATATGTCTCGTGATGCTATGTCTCTCATCTATGATCTCCAACGCGCTTTATTCCAGCTTTGTTCCTTTCTTATCTTGGGCAATCCGTGTTAATTGCTAAAAACCAGGCTGAATTGCAACAATGAGCAGTACAGCTTGATAACTTTGCTAAGAGGACATCTGGTGAACCATATTTGGGTTTTGCTGCATCTAGCTTCCAAACATGACTGTCCATCCAGAAGTTCCTGTGTCGTGAGCTCAAGGATTCCTGATGGCAAGCTGGAAACAGGCGGCGTGCCAAGTCTTGCCAATCCACAGGCAGACGGATCCGCCGCTACTTCAGAGTCATAGAACGCCTCACTGCCCGTGTTACCCTCATATCTGGCCGTATAGGGTACCGGACGGCTGAGTGGCATCACTCTCTTGCCAACATCAAGACAGTTTAGGCTGCCAAGTTCTGATATATCTCCACCATTCATGCTTTGCATAGGGGTCACTGTAATTTTACAAACTATTTTTTACAAGACATATGTCTTGTAAACCGGATAGTTTGTAAAATTACATATCTATGGGGGTAATGTATAATTTTACAAACCATCACCCAAAAATATGGGTTGCAAAATATGTGCCTTGAAATTGCAACCCATGCCCCATGGAGTAGAATTTTAAGGCACATATGTTGCAACCCTTATGTCTTGCAAACAATATGATTTGCAAAAGTACATTTTTGCCTTATTTCAAGGAATTTTGCAACCATTAGTTTGCAACCCATCTATGAGTTGTAAATTATGTTTTGCAAAACTGCACAACATGGTATGTAAAATTGAATTTTACAAACCATATTTTGCAACCCTTTCAAGCAATTTTGCAACCATTAGTTTGCAACCCATCTATGAGTTGTAAATTATGTTTTGCAAAATTGCACAACATGGTATATAAAATTGAATTTTACAAACCATATTTTGCAACCCTCCAAAAAAAAAAAAAAAAGAAAAGAAAAAAAAAAAAAAACAGGGAGACACTATGGAGTGTATGGAGGTACTGAACCGCCACTTTGGCCAAAAAAATGTAAAAATGATGGGATTGTGTCTATAATTGATGACCAGTTTTGACCGGTCATTTATGTGGGTGTTAACCCCCATCAATGACCAATCAAAACCAGTCATCAATTGGAGTGTTTACTCCCATCAAAAAATGAAAAAAAAATTCATCAGCCAATTTGGCCCTACATTCCTCCCATTGTTGACCATCTATGACACTGGTTGTCAATGGGGAGGACACACTTTCCATCAAGGACCAGTTATGACCGGGTCCTTGATGGGACT